AATTTGATAGATTTTCTTGTGGAATTCATTCCTTAGCATAAATTGATGGTATTGTGCTGGTGGTGATAGATTTGGAGCATTTGGAGGTCGAATTGAGGGGCAAGAGCATCAGGGAGTAGAGATTTGACCTGTTTAAGGTAAGTAACAGTTTTAAATCTGGTTTTGAGGGTATGAATTCCAGAGATTTGATATCATGTGACTATTTGGAGGTTACACCCATGCTAGGTGACGGGCGTGTGGGTGTACGCCGCGAGGGATTGAGACTTAGTCCGTCCTACGAGGCTGTGAAGCCTAATAGCCTTTATTTGCGTTTATGTGCTTTCCTATCTGCTAGAACTTGACTGCTTCCATAATAGAGATCATGCTTAGGCTTTATCCCTACTCATTGTAGTTATACTCAATCATAGTGATTTTTGTACATGTCTATCTCAGTCTCTGTTATCTTCTTGATGAATACACTGTAATACCTTGATTTGGACTGCTTTCCTTTATTTATTGAAACATGTGAGGCTAGAGAGGTACATGACTGAGTGAGGCCGAGGGCCCGTTGTCAGATATAATAAGATAGTACGTGAGTTGTACGTGCAACACGTGAGTTGTCCGTGCGGATCTAGTTTGATACCATAGCACGTGAGTGGTCCGTACGGATCTAGATATGATATGATAGCACGTGAGTTGTCCGTGCAGCACGTGAGTGGTCCGTGAAGATTAGCGCTTGGGCTGTAGGAGCCCCTCCGGAGTATGAACACCCCAGTGAGCGTAGGTACCTCTTGAGCGTGTGCATTGAGGCCTGAGGGATTGAATGATAGTGCTTGTGAGGTTTCATCTATTGTTGCTGTTATTGCATCCTCCCTTTTCGAAGAGGCCCAACGTCTCTTTATCCGGGTAAGGATCTGTCCCTTCTATTGCAAGCTTTTCTCCCTTTGTTTTCCTCTTCTACTGACGCATCTTTATTTCGTGTATAGGCTATTGCAAAGTTTAAAGACGATCTAAAACAATCTGCGGTCGAGCTCAAGAGAGTCTCGGGTGAAAAGAAGGCCTTGAGGCTCCTTTGTAGCCAGAAGGAAGAGGAGCTTAAGGATCTCCGAACTGATTTGGCCAAAGCTCAAAAAAGCGAGTCCGAGCTGGTAACTTTGATTTTAACAAAGTTCAGCATTCTTGGCCCTGCTTCGGAGACTAATACTTCGATGTCTCGGATGGAGCAAAAGCTGAACATGATTGGGCAGCTCTGGGGTGAGGTGAATTAAGTTCGGTTTGATTTCCACCAGTGGAAAGAGAACGTGGATCGACTTGCCGCCGAAAAGGAAGTTGTTAAGGCTCAACTGGACCTCGGCTGAAGCTCAGATCCGTGGTGCAAAAGTGAAAGGCTTAGCTCAGGACAAAGAAATCGAGGGGCTGGGGGCTGAGCTGGCTAAAGCCCGGACAGAAGCTGCATATGCTAAGGCTGAAGCTACACAAGCCAAGGCCGAAGCTGAGAAGATGAAGGTTGTGGCTGATAAATCCATTGCTATATACAAGAGAGAAGTCGCGGTCTTTCATGCTGAGTTGAGGGAGGCCTCCATCTGGGCAAGACGGAGCAATGAATTGGCTAAGTGTCAAGCCCAGAGGGAGACTCTCGAGGAAGTCTGTGCTCGACGGTTCGACCTTGCCGAAGAGATAGCCGAAGCACAGGCACGGGAAACCGATGCTAGGTTTCTTGTCTCCTCTGATGATGAGGACGTGGAGAGTGGCTCCAGGGACGAGGAAAGTGAAGAAGATGCTTCTGAAGGGGAAGAGGCTCCAGAAGATAAAGCCAGTGGAGATGAAGACGGCACTCCCGGGGACGTGGCCCGAAAATAGATTAGGTTACTATTTTTGTATAAGAGCCCCTTGTGGTAATATGCTTTGTAAATTTCCCAGATGAATATAAAGTAGCTTTTTTCTTTGTTCCTGATTTGTGTTGACTTTTTATTTTGTCTCCGTTCATGAAAATTTCCGCTGATTCACATGTTAAATTTGAGTATTGGCTTAGACTCGTAATAAGCCGTTAGGATTTTATTGCCCAATATCGTACCCCTTATGGTTTTAGATGATCCCTGAGCCAAACTAAAAGTCAAATTAAAGTGAGCTCGGGGCCTTTGGGTCCGAGTTAAACGAGAACGGGGGTCTCAGACTCCCAAAGGCTTTTGACCCTATATTTCTTCTTTAAGCTGGCCATTAGGCTCTTGTATATCAACCCTTAGGCTCTTTTAGGTTGGCCCTTAGGCTCTTTTAGGTTGGACGTTAGGCTCTTTAAATTGGGCCGTTTCGGCTTCTAAAATGGCTATATAGTTTTCCCTCACTTCGGCTAAAAGACTTAATGAAATTTTAGTTAAGTATGTATTTTTGTACCCATTGGGTTTTTCGAAGGCTCAACGTATCAGAACCTTATTAGTCATTCTGTTTGTGTGAACATAGTCGAATGCCTCTTAAGGGTTTTCCGAAGGCTGGTGTTATCGAAGCCGTTGGACTGTTAGAGGGCAGATTTATCGAAGCCCTTAGATTTTTCGGGGCCAAATTTATCGAGGCCCCTTATGTTTTTCTTTTGCCGGGGGTAGCCTGATTTAACCGATTTTTCAATGTATGAAGGCCTTTAATTTATAGCGGAAGTCGGACGTCTCCGAGCTGCATTTTTTGGCCGTAGCCTTATATGACCATAGTCTTTAGTATGGTCGTAGCCTTCGTATTTGTCACTTGACTGGTTTCCCTATAACTTTCCGAACTTGTTCGAAAAGTTAGTCCCCGAGTGAGTTGGCCTTGGCCTTCGTTTCCAGGGGGTGCCTCTTTGAGGTCTTATATTGATTGTTAGTGACAGTCCCCGGGAATTTCGGGGTGCTTTGGCCCTTGAGCCGCTTCCCGTAGTATTGTAAGTATAGAGCTCATATGAGACACAGAGTATTTTTGGTATGTCCTGAATGTTTCTTCAAATAATCAATACATGCGTACATGTTTTTCCATCGGGGCTCGATCATTCTATATGGACACGGTTCATTTGACTGTTTAGCCCATTACAAAGTTCTCCTACCGAGGCCCTCCTAGGCGTGAAATATCTTTCTCAAAGTTATAATCTCCGAGGTTGATGCCCCCAGTATTCGAGGTTGTTCGAAGAGAAGCCTTGAATACTTGTTGAGTGACCCTTAGGTAGCATATAGGTGTTGCCTCGTTAAAAACCTTCCCGGTAAAACCCATTTGGTATAAAACTCAATCTAAGTGAAAAAGAGTGTAACGCATGCTTCCAAACCCAAGGTCTTCGAGCTCAACAGTAATATCGCTTGAGCATTGATATATTCCAATTATTTGGTAGTTGTTCACCTTCCATTGTGCTGAGTTTGTAGGATCCTTTCCCTATGACTCCGAGGACACGGTACGGTCCTTCCTAATTAGGACCTAGCTTCCCTTCGTTTGGGTCTCGAGTGTTAAGAGTGACATTAATTTCCTCAGTACTAAGTCCCCGACTTTGAAATGTCAAAGGTTTGTCCTTCTGTTGTAATACCTTTCGATTCTTTGTTTTTGCGCGGCCATTCGTATTAATGCATCCTCACGTTTTTCATCTAGTAGCTCGAGAGAAGTATTCATTGCTTTGTGATTTGAGCCTTCGGTAGAACGCTGAAACCTTGCGCTATGCTCCCTGACTTCGACTGGGATTAAAGCTTCGGACCCATATACCAAAGAAAATGGGGTCTTCCCCGTGCTTGACTTCGATGTTGTCCAATATGCCCAAAATACCTCGGGCAACACCTCTCTCCATTTCCCCTTTGCATCATCTAGCCTTTTCTTCAAGTTTCGAATAATGGTTTTGTTGGTGGACTCAGCCTGACCATTTGCACTTGGGTGGTAAGGTTCTGATAGGATCCTTTTGATTTTATGGTCCTCGAGGAATTTTGTCACTTTGCTGCCGATTAATTGTTTTCCATTGTCACATATTATTTCGGCGGGTATCCCGAACCGGCATATGATGTAGTCCCATATGAAATTGATGACTTCTTTTTCTCTTACCTTCTCGAAGGACTGCACTTCAAACCATTTTGAGAAGTAGTCAGTCATAAATAAAATGAATCTAGCTTTACCTGGCGTCGTTGGTAGGGGACCGACGATGTCCATCACCCATTTCGTGAATGGCCACGGGGATAGGATCGAGTGGAGTTGTTCACCGGGTTGATGAATTATTGACGCAAATCTCTGGCACTTATCACACTTTCGAACGAACTCCTTGGTATCTTTTTCCATGTTATCCCAATAATATCCTGCTCTGATCACCTTGCGAACCAAAGAGTCTGCACCAAAATGGTTCCTGCAGGAGCCCTCGTGGATTTCCCGTAGTACATAGTCTGTATCCCCGGGTCCTAAGCACACCGCCAGTGGTCCATCAAAGGTTCTTCTGTATAACGTTTCATTTTCATCGAGCGAGAATCGAGCTGCTTTGGCTTGGAGTGTTCTTGACTCCTTCAGGTCCGCGGGGAGCTTCCCGTGCTTTAAATAATCGATATATTTGTTCCTCCAATCCCATGTTAAGCTTGTCGGGTTAATCTCTGCATGGCCTTCTTTGATCGCTGACTTTGATAACTGGATGACAGCCCCGGGACGATATCGTCTTCTTCGACTGATGATCCCAGGTTTGCTAGTGCGCCGGCCTCGCTGTTATGTTCTCGAGGTACATGGTCTAGTGTCCATTCCTTAAAGCGATGCAGTGTTTTTGAAGTTTGTCCAAGTACCTCTGCATTCGATCGTCTCGAACCTCGAAGCTTCCGTTTATGTGGTTTACCACCAAAAGGGAATCACACTTTGCCTCGACGACCTCTGCTCCAAGGCCCTTTGCTAGTTCAAGACCTGCAATCATGGCTTCATACTCGATTTCATTATTAGTCAATTTAGAAGTTTTGATAGATTATTTGAACCAAAACAAGTTAAAAGGACTGAATTACGTTGACTGAAAAATGAATCTTGATATTGTCCTAACTGCTAAAGGGTGCAAATTCGCAATAATGGAGGTGTGCCCAGAAAAACCTGATAAAGATGCTATAGATGATCAGGTTAAGGCCTATGATAAATACGTTAAGGCTGATGAGATGACGTGATGTTACATCATTGCCTCTATGGCGAATGTTTTGCAACATCTGCATCAGTCTATGGATTCTGCTTATGACATGCTTGAAATTTTCAAAGAGATGAACTTAGAGAGCAAAATCGTGCGGCTAAGCAGACATCTATCAAAGCCCATTTGAATACCAAGATGGCTGACGGATCATCAATTAGGGATCATGTTCTGAAAATGATCCCTCTTCTGAATGAACTGGAGGTCCTTGGAGCTGTGATTGATAAGGAATCTCAAGTTTACTACAAACTCTGCCTGGTAATTTTTAATAATTTTGCTTGAACTATAATATGAACAAAATCGATTTGTCATTAGCGAAATTGTTGAATAAGCTGCAAGCGGCAAGCAATCTTGTGACACTGAAATTTGAGAAAGCTTCAATTTCTAAGCCGAAAGGAGATAAGAAAAAAAAAAAGAAGGCTCATAAGGTTTTGGCACCTGGAGGTGCGACTGCTAGTATGAAAAAGCCTAAAGGAAAGTGTTATCACTGCAACCAACCTGGGCATCACAAAAAGCAATGCCCTGCTAATTTGGCAAAGTTGAATAAGTAAGGTAATTCAAATTTTAAATGCATTTGAAACTTGTTTAGTGGTTGTCTCTACCATGTTTTGGGGGTGTAGATTCAGGAGCAACTAATCATATCTGCACTACTTTGCAGAGGTTTCAGAAAATGCGATGACTAAGTGAGAATGAAGTTTGCATTTTTCAAGCCAATGGCGAGCCAGCATCAGCTTTAGGATTAGGAGATATTACAGTTTCATTTAGTAATGATAGAGTTTTAGTTTTAAAGGATGTTCTCTATGTACTTTTCACTAGAAGGAATTTTATTTTGGTTTTAAAAATAATGGATGCTGGTTATAATATTTATTTTGCTAATAATTCTGCTGTTATAAGTTTAATAAACATTTTATCTATACTGCTGCTAGAGTACATGCCCTTTTTATACTTGATATATCTCCTCATGTGCTACAACCAAAAAAAAAAATATTAATCTTCCACATAGAAGAAAACATATTTCTATATTGAGTCAAATTTATTTGTGGCACTTATGTCTAGGTCATATAAATCTAAATATGATTTTGAGGTTGGTTTCAGATGGACTTTTGAGTTAGTTGAAAGTGGAGACACTGCCAACATGCAAATCATGTTTAGAAGGAAAAATGACTAAGAGACATTCTCCTCAAAAGGAAATAGAGCTAGTGATAAGTTGGAATTATTTTATTCTAATTTGCGTGGTCCTATGTATATACAAGCAAAGGTGGTTTTGAGTACTTTGTAACTTTCACAGATGATTACTCAAAATATGGATACATTTATCTATTGCTCCAAAGAATTTAAGACGAAAATAGGAAACAACATGATAAACATATCAAATCATTACGATCTGATCGCGGTGGTGAATACCTTTCTGCAGAACTCATTAAATACTTATCAGATTGTGGAAATATATCTCAATTGTGCCCCAAGAATACCACAACAAAATGGTATGGCAGCAAGAAGAAATAAGACCTAATGGAAACGGTTAAATCAATGTTAAGTTATTTCGATTTGCCTTCTTCTTTCTGCAGATATTCTTTAGAAACAACAAATTATATTTTAAATTTGGTTCCTTCCAAGTCGGTACCTTCAACTCCAGTAGAATTGTGGACTGGGCGCAAGCCCAGTTTGCGGCACATTAAGATTTGGGAATGTCCAGCAACGTGCTCAAAGGGAAAGCGGATAAATTAGAATCAAGGATAGAAGTGTGCATTTTTATTTGATATCCAAAGGGAACGAAAGGCGATTTATTTAATCTCCCAAAGAAAATGTCACGACCTAAAAGTCATCTAGTCCTGATGGAACCTAATCCAATCAGCTAAGTAAGCCAAAAAATATAAATTACAACTAAACTAAGAAATCAACAATGTATATAATAGAAACTAAAACCCTAATCAATACAACTACCCTAAGAATTGGTGGTACAAGTCATGAGCCACTATGATTTAGTTTACAAAACCGATATGAAGAATAAATACAATAACTGATTGAAGTTTACATAGACAGAACTTAAATTCTAAGCTACCATGAATAAGAGGCAGCTCAAATCTGGAACGCGGCACGTCTTCAATACACGGCTTCGTCTTCCACAACTACGCAGCTCCAAGATCTGCATACAACATGCAGAAGTGTAGCATGAGTACAACCGACCCTATTTACTCCGTAAATATCTTAACTAACCTCGGTGAAGTAGTTGCAAGATTTTTAGTTAAAAGATACCTACTTATATTTGTACATGTGCAGGTAATAAGCAGAAAGAGCAAATACAAGAAAAGATACACATATAATCACGTAATGAATGAAACAAGAATACAAATGATAGAGGGCCCAAGAATATCATCACTTCTCAGTTTCACAACACGATATAATATTCTTCTCGGTTGTGGTTTGCAACCCGATCCCCCATATATATATATATATATATATATATATATATATATGCGACGTGCACCTGATCTCATATCTCATATCAATATTGTTGCGGCGTGCAACCTGATCCCCCATATATATATATATATATATATATATATATATATATATATATATATATATATATATATATATCCGATCCACAATATTAATAATATCAGTATATATATTAATCATTGTTGTGTCATGTAACTCGATCTACAATATCAATAATATCATATGAAACTACAACAACAAACCAAACGCGGAAAAACTTCACAATGTAACACTATGAAAATGAACACGCAGTATCCGATTAGGTAATACAACTCAACATAGTAGAATGAGCAGTCCAATATCAAAAACTAGTCCACCACATATAATGACAAGGCTTCCACAAGGTATATCACACAACCAATCCACAAGTCACCGAATCCAGTTAAGCAAAGGAGAGTAATACATGAAAGAAGCAAAGATATTTATCAAGAAAGAACAGGGATCAAATGAGGGCATTCGATATATGAAATCATATAGCAAGTAGAAGCACGTAACTAGTAAAGGTATTTAATCGATGAAGGTGTATGCTAAGTGGAGACATATAGCAGGTCAAAGCATGTAGTGGGTGAAAACATGTAGTAAATTAAGGAATTTAACAAGTAAATTACGTGACAATCAGAGGCATGTAAAAAGTATGGGCTAATACAAGCAAAGACATGAATTCAAAGAAGACGTGTAATAGAAGTGAATCAAGTGAAAGCGCATGTGTAACAATAACAAACAAGATAAAGACATAGCTATAACAGTACGAGCAAAAGGGAAAACACATAAATAACTATATAAGGAACCCAAATAGAAGGCATCATACGAAACAACAAACACTAATAGAAACCAAAATAAAGGACATGTAAGTGCTTAATGAATGAGTAATCATAACAAAAATTCAAATTCCCTTCTTTTCTACACGGTAATAATCAACAAAATATTCTCTTTACAAACCGCACAAAAATACTCATCGTGCCAACATCATATCAACCGCATGGGAATACTCATCGTGCCAAATATATCAACCGTCCGGAAATACTCATTGTGTCAAACATTGCCCTAGGGCTCCAATCATGATCTCTTAGTACGAATAAATAAGCTCAAGTAACATGTCAATAACAGGTATAGATGTAGATTCCTAATTCTATGATCAAGTTAAGTATGCAAACGGTTTTAGAGAAATCGCATTTAATCATTTTTAAGATGTCATATGTTCTAACTTGATTTCTAACACAGATAATTGAGTCTAATAGTCCTTCATTCAAATGAAGCACATGTTAACAGATCATCAAGTTCAACAAAAGCACAAAGAAGCATATAATTTTCCCTCCCGAGCATGGAAACCCTTGCACATGCATAACCGCTCGTCACCTCATATATGCATTACCCGCGCATGTAGCAAACAATACCAATTAGTAGAAAAAATTCTCCCAATAAAGTTAGGCAAAACACTTACCTTAAACAAGCCAAATCGATACACTAGAAGCGTCATTCTGCACAAATCGACCTCCGAACAGCTCGAAACAAGCCAAGCAACTCAAAATCATCAACTAATACCATAGGAAGCAAACCCAAATAATAAAGGTCGAATCTTTAATCAAATACTCAAAATCAACCAAAAAGTCAATTCGGACCCGCATCCCGGAATCCAGCAAAACTCATAAATTCCAACAACCCATTCAAATACGAGTCCAGCCATTCTAATTTTATTGTCACGGCCCAAATTCCCTCCTTAAGAGTCTTGATGGCATCTAGTCCCTAGAACTAGGTAAGCCTAGAACATGGTGAGCTATTATCAGATTTAAACATTAATCATTTAACATGAAACATTAATTTCCATACATATCTAACAACCATCCGTAGATACAACATCCAAAAATCATTAGTACGAAGTCATAAGTCTTTCTAAGAGTAACGAAGAATATCAAATACATCACTATTTAAAATTGAAATCAATAATAACAAAAAAAATCAGAAGGTGACTCCGAGGCATGCGAACGTCTAGCAGGTATACATTGAAGTCTCCGAAATAGTTAGTCCAAACACCGGTGCCCGTCATGAGCGGAAGTACTGGATATGCACAAAAATATGTAGAAGCGTAGCATGAGTACACCACAACGGTACCCAATAAGTATCAAGCCTAACCTCGGTTGAATAGTGACGAGGCTAGATCGAGACACCTACTAGACATAGAAACCTGTGCAAGACATATCGTAAAGCTAACAATGAAAGGAACATAAATGTAAGGCTATCAGCAGAATAATTTGTAATTTACAACCAACAATGAAATGACATAACAAATATGACAGCAAGAAGTGAACGAGTAATAAAGCAGCAACATAATCAGAACACAAAAATGAAATATGAATAACTCAAATAAAGAAAACAAATGACAATTTAAATAATCGAATAGTTCCCAACACATAACTTATAACAAGAATTACTCTGAAGTAACACACCACATAATCACATATGGCAGCAAGAGACGAATTTTGCTAATCGATCCCAAAATATATGACAAAATAAAGGTTAAATCAGTCATAAATCGTGAAGGACTAAAACGGATAAATTCAATCACAAATTTTGTGACAAACTCATACCGTCACAAATTAGATTTTATATTTAGAAATATATAACAATTAAATAATATTGGCAATGCTTTTGATAATATTGAATAATTTATTATACCAATGAACAATTATTTATAATAATTTATTATTAAATAATAATTACATAAGTAATAATTTAATTGGAAAATATTATTGTAAAAGTTGCCCTCTCACTCTTTTATAGTAGTCACTTCGGCTACTTAGCCTACATATTTTATTTTCTTTCGACGTTGCACATTTCATTTGGCAAACTTTGATAAGACATAATTGTTGTTGGGATATACTATTAACCATGCGGTTTAGACATAGTATTATATTTTATTCTTTATAGAATAATTGTTTATTTAATTTATTCAATACAATAAAGTACTATTTTAAATAGATCATTTGTTACATGTGTGTCCTCTTAATTATGTAGTAGACAATTTAGTGTATGGAGTCTTAGCTCATGCACA